ACTTCGTCTTCACTAAAAATACAGAAATCAGCCTGGCGTGATGGTGCACACCTGTAATCCCAGCTACTCGGGAGGCTGAGACAGAAGAATCACTTGAATCCTGGAGGCGGAGGATACAGTTAACCAAGATCACTCCACTGCACTCTAGCTTGGGCGACAGAGCAAGATTTCGTCTCCAAAAAAAAAAAAAAAAAAAAGACATAGAATCAATCCAGGTGCCCATCAATGGCAGACTGGATAAAGAAAACATGGTACATATATACCAGGGAATGTATACATCCATAAAAAAGAATGAAATCACGTGCTTTGCAGTGACATGGATGTAGCTGGAAGCCATAATCCTAAGCAAATTAATGCAGTAACAGAAAACCAAACACCATATGCTCTCATTTATAAATGGGAGCTAAACGTCGTGCACACACGGACATAAGCATGGGAGCAACAGACACTGCAGACAACTTGGGGTTGGAGAGAGGGGGGCATGGGCTGGAAAAGTACCTACTGGGCACTATGCTCAATACCTGGGTCCACCATGTAACAATCCTACACACGTACCCCTGTATCGAAAATAAAAGCTGAAATTTTTTTTAAAAAGTTTAATGAAGGATACGGACAAATAAGCAATAATAATACATTTTGATAAATGCTCTAATAAGTAGTGGTTCTCAAATGGGGGCAAATTTGCCCTCCAAAGGACATTTGGCAATGTCTGGAGACATTTTCGGTTGTCACAACTTGGGGGAGGAGGGTAAGTTACTGGAATTGAGCAGGTAGAGGCCAGGAATGCTTCTAAACATCCTACAATGTGCAGAACAGCATCCAAAACAAAGAGCTACGTAGCCCAAAATGTCAATAGCGCCAAGGTTGAAAACCCTGCTATAAAGGCGTATTAGGGGTACATCAAATCTAGGCAGGGGAGATCAGAGGTTTCCTAGAGGGAGTACCATGTGGGCTAAGACAGGTAAGGCTAGAGAAATATACAGGCAGTGGAGTGGAGAAGAATGTGTATGGCACATACAAAGACTCAGAGGCTAGAGAGAGGATGGGATAATCAGCAGGGTTCTCACCACTACCACTATTTATTGAGAAAATATTTTGTGCCTGCCTGGGTTTGTATAAGATAACCAATATACATTTTAAAATGCAGTCCTCATTCACAATTCTACGAGTCACATATTTCTCCGTTTTACAGATGAGGAAGGACTGGGGCACGGAGAAGTTAAAGTAATTTGTCCAAGGTCACATAGCGAGTGAATGGTGGGGCCACAAGTTGAATCTAGGTCTGGCTAACTCTAGTAAGCCCATGTTCACTCCCTAAACGCTCCTGCCTTTGACGACAGCTGAGTGTACTGGGGGATAGGGTGTGAGAGGAGGAAAGCAGCAGCAGCCTTGGAGGACAAAAGGGAGCCACATTATGACAGACCACGGGCATGGGAAAGAATGTGGAGACTGTCTTGAAGGTAGTGAAAATTCACCGAAGGATTTTAAATCAGAGTCACATGATCAAATGTGTCTTTAAGAAAGATCGCTTCTGGCTGCAGTGTAGGGAGTGGAACGAAGGAGGGAGGCAAGCTAGGAAGAAGTGTAGTAGATAAATCCAGAGATTACTCAGCTTCCATAAGAAAAGTGTTAATGAGGGAAAGAATTCAAGAAAACGTTAGAAACTCAGATCTGTACTTAGTGACTGGTTAAAAGTTACGGGTGAAGGACAGTGTGCAATCCAGTTTTCTGATCAGAGCATGTTAGTGGATAAAAGTGCCATCCAGTAAGAGAATACAGAAGGGGCAGCAGATTTGAGAGAGTGAATATGTGAGTTCAGTTTGAGATTGTAAAATTTATATTTAAATGGGAAGAAAAGAAGACCAGCCTGGACACAACAGATAAAATGAGAGATAAAAAGAATGCTGAAGAACTAGAGGCGAAGATGAAGACATGGAGCAGATTTAACTTTGACAGGGAGGAAAGAAGAGGGAAGGCTCTAGTCAGAGAGTGTGGTTTCAGAGTTTGAGATCTTAGGGGCACTTCAGTTCATGCGGGAGGTTGGCGTAGAAGTAGGGGAGGTAGTAGAGTTAAGGAAGCTGAAGAGTATTAGTGTTTTGTGTATCAACAACATGGAAATTCAAACATTTAAGGATGACAAAAGAGACAGAATGAAGAGGAAAAGGGTCAGATGTTAAAACTTTTAAAAAGGGGCCAGGCGCGGTGGCTCACGCCTGTAGTCCCAGCACTTTGGGAGGCCAAGGTGGGTGCATCACCTGAGCTCAGGAGTTCGAAACCAGCCTGGCCAACATGGTGAAACCTCGTCTCTACTAAAAATACAAAATTATCCGGGCATGGTGGTGCATGCCTGTAGTCCCAGCTACTTGGGAGGCTGAGGTGGGAGAATCACTTGATCCCAGGAGACTGAGGTTACAGTGAGCCAAGATGGTGCCATTGTACTCCAGCCTGGGCTGGAATGAAACTCTGTCTCAAAAAAATGATAATAAAAATAAAACTAAAATAAAATAGAAAGGGTCAAAGAGCACCTTCTCGATTGAGAAATATTATTGATTAGGGAGAAGAGAGACAACACTGATTTCAAAGAGGAGTGTGATATGGTTTGGATACCTGTCCGCTCCAAATCTCTCGTGTTGAAATGTGACTTCCAGTGTTGGAGGTGGGGCCTGGTGGGAGGTGTTTGGGTTATGGGGGTGGATCCATCATGAATGGCTTGGTGCCCTATTAGTTATCCTGAGGTCTGATGGTTAGAAAGAGCCTGGCCCCTCTCCTCTGCGCTCAGTCCTGCTCCCTTGTGAGGCTTGCTCCCCTCTGCCTGCTGTCAGAGTGAAAGCTTCCTGAGGCCTTACCAGAAGCATATGTTGGTCCCATGCTTCGTATGCAGCCTGCACAACATGAGCCAAAATAAACCACTTACTTCTCTTTACAAATTACCCAGTTTCCACTCTTTCTTCATAGCAATGCAAAACAGATTAACACAGAGTGGTAGCTTAATTTCAAAGAGGAATAGGACCTGAGAGTAAGTGTCAAAACAAAGCCCTGGAAATGGCAGTCGGGAGTGAAGTAACTGCGGTTTCCTCCGTCACATTCACATGAGATGACTTGACTGACACAAGGGCATTCGCGGAAGGTTTTGAAAGTCATGATATCGAGGGACAGCTAGAGCTCAGAACAAATGAAGAAACAGGAGAGTTTGAGGAAACAATATGGTGGGGAGTTTGGTTATAACTGAACCTAAGTTTCAGAAGGCATGAGGGTCAAATGGGAAGAGTTATGGATGAACTGTATAAAGACAAATGGACATAGCAATGGCTGACAAGAGGCTTAATGCAGAATTGAATAGCCCTAATTTTGTTTTAACTTCTATTTCAGGTTCGGGGGTACATGTGAAGGTTTGTTATATAGGTAAACTCATGTCACAGGGGTTTGTTACACAGATTATTTTATCACCCAGGTATTAAGCCCAGTACCCAGTAGTGATCTCTTCTGCTCCTCTCCCTCCCCCAACCCTATATCTTCAAGGAGATGCCACTATCTGTGGTTTCCTACTTTGTGCTCCTAAGTTCTTATCATTTAGCTCCCACTTATCAGTAAGAATATGTAGTATTTGGCTTTCTGTCCCTGCATTAGTTTGCTAAGAATAATTGCTTCTGGCTCCATGCATGTTCCTGCAAAAGATCTGATCTCATTCTTTTTACGGCTACATACTATTCCATGGTATCTATGTTCCATATTTTCTTTATATAATCTGTCAGTGATGAACATTTAGATTGATTCCATCAGTTTAGGATTGATTCCGTCAATTTAGGTTGATTTCATCAATTCCATCGTTTACATTTGCTATTGTGAAGGTTGCTGCAATCAACATTCACGTGCATGTGTCTTTGCGGCAGAATGATTTCTATTCCTCTGGGCATATACTCAGTAATGTAGCCCTAACATTTTAATAAAACACTGAGATTAGTATATGGTTTAGACCAGTGCTATCCAACAAAACTTTTCATGATAATGAAAATGCTCTATATCTGCACTGTCCAATATTCGCTACATGTGGCCATTAAGAACTTGAATTGTATGCTAGTGTGTCTAGGGAAAATACATGCAACTTTAACGGATTACAGTGTGGCCCCCAAATACAGTAATGAATCAACAGTAACCTCCTATTCTTCAAACTGCCTTTAACACCATCTGATCACTAAGTATAAACTGTTATTCTCCTTAGGTATGTTTGAGTTACCTTACAGTAAGTCCAGACTCAAAGATGCTACTAAGACCAGGCGTGGTAGCTCACGCCTGTAATCTCAGCACTTTGGGAGGACGAGGTGGGCAGATCACCTGAGGTCATGAGTTCGAGACCAGCCTGGCTAACATAGTGAAACTCCATCTCGGCTAAAAATACAAAAATTAGCTGGGCATGATGGCCCATGCCTGTAATCCCAGTTACGTGGGAGGCTGAGGCAGGAGAATCACTTGAACCCAGGAGGCAGAGGTTGCTGTGAACGGAAATCATGCTATTGCACTCCAGCCTGGGCGACAAGGCAAGACTCCATCTCCAAAAAAAAAAAAAAAAAAGAAAGAAAGAAATGCTACTAAATATGTACATATTATTATCTTTGGTGTATTTGGATTTTCTCAAAACTTACCAATTATTGAGGAAAAACATTTGTCTTTAATCATATATGAACATAAATAAACTAATGCCTGGGTGTTAAGATTTTTGCAGCATTGCAAATTATCAGCAAATAAAAAGATTAAGCATATAGGTCTCTCAAAGTATTATACTGTACTACATTCTCTGAACAGTGATACAACAGTATTTGCAGAGGAATAAGAATTCTCCAAATAGCAAATTTGTTTAATTCAGAAAAGTCAACATTAACAGATTGATAATTCACTTTGTGTGTTTGAAAAACAGAGTTTAGTTACAGAAGAATAACCAAATAAATACTCAGAAGAAAAAAGAAAAAAAAAAGACGCTTTTATTTGCATCTTATTAGACTTGCCTTGGTTTTTTCAAAATTGGCTTCCTCAGATATTTGCAAAACTTGTTTCACCTGTTCATAAGCACTTGCTTCTCTCTGCTGCGTATCTGCCAAGCTGCTCCTTACGGAAACTAGTGCAGACATCAGGTCATCTCTTTCTCTGTCCGCACAAAAAGAACATTCAGAACAAGAAATGATCAAATGATCATGTCTTCATAAGTCAGGGAGGAAAAGGCATTAATATGTATTAGAAGAGCCAGAGTAGGCCGGCTGAGCACATATTAAATAAAGCACACCCCAGAGAAAGACCCTCTGTCCTCACTTGGCGAGCGGCAGGCAGAGCAGCCGGAAAGGCCAAGAGCCTTCGTGGCAGGACTGCATCTGTGTGGGACAATCATCTATTGTGGAGATAGCTGCAGGGGAAAGCCCAGAAAAGAGCAAATTAGTTTTTTAAACGTTGGGGGGAGGCTCCCTTAAATTTGTACGTTTTACTAGTTTCAAAAGGTTTGGCCATTATGACATAGAATGCTGTCTGTGGTCTGATGTCTTTCATTTTTTTTTATTATTATACTTTAAGTTCTAGGGTACATGTGCGTAACGTGCAGGTTTGTTACATATGTATACTTGTGCCATGTTGGTGTGCTGCACCCATCAACTCGTCAGCACCCATCAACTCGTCCTTTACATCAGGTATAACTCCCAATGCAATCCCTCCCCCCCCCCGCTCCCCATAATAGGCCCCGGTGTGTGATGTTCCCCTTCCTGAGTCCAAGTGATCTCACTGTTCATTTCCCACCTATAAGTGAGAACATGTGGTGTTTGGTTTTCTGTTCTTGCGATAGTTTGCTGAGAATGATGGTTTCCAGCTGCATCCATGTCCCTACAAAGGACACAAACTCATCCTTTTTCATGGCTGCATAGTATTCCATGGTGTATATGTGCCACATTTTCTTAATCCAGTCTGTCACTGATGGACATTTGGGTTGATTCCAAGTCTTTGCTATTGTGAATAGGGAGTCTTTATAGCATTCTTGCCGTTTTAATGAAAAACCAAGAAAAGTAAATACCTCTCTTCCAATATTTGGTGGTTTACAGTTTGCTTCTGTTTAATGCTAAATATGTGTGACAGAATTCATCAGAATGAATAAATGTTGACCTGGAAAATAAAAAAAAAGAAAACTTCCAGGGAGATAATTCACCCCAACTTCCTGATAGTGGTGACTTCTCGGGAGAAAAAAAAGAGGTAATAAATGGGTAGACTAGGGTTTTGTTGTGGGTGCTCTCCTCTGCACTGTAGGCCATTTCACAACATTTCTGACTTCACCTTTTGGTTAATAGTAGTGCCCTTCTCCCCAGTTGTGACAAGCAAAACTGTTTTCAGAAATTTTCCAGTGTCTCTGCAGCAGGGGACAAAAATTGCTTCTAGTAGAGAACCACTAGAATAGACTGTCTTTAGCATCAGTTCTCAAAAGGAAACAGGAGTGGTGGAGGGTATCAGAAGAGAGATATGAAATAAAATTATAAAACGTATTGCAGCCCTATTCACAATAGCAAAGACTGGAACCAACCAAATGCCCATCAATGAGAGACTAGATAAAGAAAATGTGGCCCATATACACCATGGAATACTACGCAGCCATAAAAAAGGATGAGTTCATGTCCTTTGCAGGGCATGGATGAAGCTGGAAACCATCATTCTCAGCAAACTAACACAGGAACAGAAAACCAAACACCACATGTTCTCACTCATAAGTGGGAGTTGAACAATGAGAACACATGGATACAGGGAGGGGAATATCACACACCAGGGCCTGTTGGGGGGTGGGGGCTGGGGGAGGGATAGCATTAGGAGAAATACCTAATGTAGATGATGGGTTGATGGGTGCAGCAAACCACCACGGCATGTGTTTACCTATGTAATAAGCCCGCACATTCTGCACATGTATCCCAGAACTTAAAGTATAATAAAAAAAAAAAAAATTATAAAAAAAAAAGGTGGGGGGGAGGTGCTGAAAGGAAAAATGCAGCAAAGTAGGGAAGGTAGGAATTATAAATCAAAGTAGCAGTCAACATTTTAAGAAAGGACTGAGGCTTTGTCCATGCAGCAGATTCTCCTCTCATTTACTTGAACAAATAAATGTCCTTTCCGTTTTATCTTTCTCCACAATCCTCTTTTTTGTGCTTCTCTTTCAATTACATTCTTTCAGTTACTTATGAACACTTGTTGTTCAATGATTAGTACTGCTGAACTCCTCAAATCTCCTGGTTACGCATATAATATTCACAATTTAACACAATCTTATCCCACTGGGTTTGATCATTGCCAAGACCCACCCCTCTTCAGCAATTCTCAGAAGTACTTTATCCTAAGCTGTTTATTGAGGGTAGAAGTGAACCAAATGCCAAAATGCTCTGGCATGTAAAATAGCAAGGATACAATCTCATAGATTAAATAAGTCTCATATAAAATATTCTAGGATATTTGCAATTTATCGACTGAATAAAAATATCCAGTACACCAAAGAGAAAGTGAGGCAGGAAACTTTCAAGACACAAAAAGCAAAAAATGTATGTTGGACTGTTACATATGGTATTCCCCATTTTGTTAAAGAGTTGAAGACTAAACCACGGTTTCAAAATCAGTTGAAATAAATGCTTGCAGTTTCCTTTTCATTGCCAAGTTCTTAAACTATGAGAAAAGATCCAACTATGATTTTTTTTTTAAATTAGCAAGTTTTAAAGAGTCATAGTTTAGAGGATTATAAACTCTGCTTGAATCACTTTCAGGATTAACCAATGATTCAATTTAAAACATCTCTTAAAGGTAAAATAAACTATTTGTGGTATTTGGAAAGCAGCCACATTTGAAGAAACATGTAACACTGAACAAAGTTACAATTATTAGCAGTTTCATAAAAGTCTTTTTTATTTAAAAAAGAATAAATTGCTACAAATATAAAATTCATGGAAGCAGAGTGATCTTCACTTTAGAATTTCCTGATTTGTTTTAAATTGGTAAAAGTAATTTTTCTTCCAAGGAAATGAAAAAAGAAGTAAATTGTTTTAATTGAATATAATCAAACACAGTTACTATGTAAAAAAGTGGAAGAATCAAGGCAAGATTAAATTATCCTAGTTAAGTAAAAAAATAAACACCAGCAAAATTGAGTATGTATCTATTTATATTTCCATAAAAGTTCTATAACATAAAAGGGGTCTAGCTTCATCAAGGATATGCAATCCAGTTAGGACCTATGATTCTAGAAGAAAAGAAAAATTCACTCTGTAAGGACAGCAAGTCAATATAGGCATCTTACAGTCACCTTTCTTAAATCACTAAGACTTAATGAAGAGCAAAAGTAACTATTCAATGAGATTCTTATCTGTTTCTGATACCATGCAATCACCAAAGCCAAAGTTCCAAAGAAAAAGAATGAACAAAAAAGGCCAGGCGCAGTGGCTCACGCCTGTAATCCCAGCACTTTGGGAGTCCGAGGTGGGCGGATCACTTGAGGGCAGGAGTTCCAAACCAGCCTGACCAACATGCTGAAATTCTGTCTCTATTAAAAATACAAAAATTAGCTGGCTGTGGTAGTGCACACCTGTAGCCCCAGCTACTCGGGAGGCTGAGGCACAAGAATTGCTTGAACCTGGGAGGTGGAAGTTGCAGTGAGCTGAGATCGTGCCATTGCACTCTAGCCTAGGCGACAGAGTGAGACTCCATTTAAAAAAAAAAAAAGAATGGTCAAAAAAGCTCCATGTTTGTAAGTATGCAAACAGACAGATCCACAACAGGATAAAAATCTAACAAACCTGCTGCTTATGGGAAACTTATGTCTAATAGATTTTATCTCTTTTCAGAATATGCTCTTGTCAGGAGTAGTGTTTGTCACACAGTAGATGCTCAACAGAATAAGCAATAAGAAAACAAATAAATGAAGAAAGAGTCTGCTATAGGATGGTGTCAAAAGACGTGAAGTAAAGCTCCCTCTCAGTTCTAATATTTCATGATCTAAACTGAAAACATTACCTATTTTGAATCAGAAACTAGAGTTCAGTTGCTCTGGTTCAAAAGTGTTTCAGAATATTAACTCACCAAATTTAGACTATGGAACCACAGAAAATTATCAAAGATAAAACTCCAATATACAGATAGCTTGTTAAGCCCATCATTCGACAGTGAGACCACAAAACGATTACACTCAAACTCCGTGTAACCGCTGGGCTGACACACTCCACCTTTCTGTAAGGCAAATGCAACGCATGCTTCAAGGTAGCTTTGAGCCCACCTGGGAAGCTTGCAGGTAGGTAGTCATTTTGGCAATTTAGGATTATCTAATCATCCACTCAGGTGTTACTAAATCTTGGTTTTGGTTTGGTTTGGTTTTGACTCAGCCAGTCCACATACCAAATAGCAGCAAGCAACCCCACAAATAATTTTTTTCGAAAGAGCCCTGGGCTGGCAGTCCCCTCTCCTCAACACAAGACCTTGCTTCCTGCTCCATTCCTGTGTCCATCTGGCTTCATCTTGTCTGAGCTTTCCCTTTTTAGCCCCACACTTATCCCCTGGGTCTGACAGTGCTACTTATATAATCTGCCTTTCAGAAACAGCCGATTCCAGCCACCCAGGGTAACTGCCCAGTTAGCTACAGTCCTGCTCCAGATCCCGCAGTCCACAGGGCCGGCCCAGAGCCACACCTGAATGAGGCTCTCACAGTGGGAAGCTGTACAGATACACATGGCATATCAGTGTGAAAGGGAAAGGGCAGTTCTCCAAATTACCATCTTCCATAGCAAACGTTCTGTGAGTGCTTGTGCTTGGAAACACCTTGTGGATGTGGCGATCAATGTAATCAAGGAGCTTCTTGAAGCAAAGCCAGCAACACCATGTTAACCCTGCAACGTTCCATGATCCAGATGAAAGAGCAGCTGAGGCAGAAAGATGACGTAAAGATCCCGAGTGTTCTGGGGTGAAAAGCGTGCACTTACATGCACTAATGAGCATGTAATATTTAAGAACCTTAGCGCAGCAATCGGGGCCAAAAGGACTGAGAAAGTCCCTTAACAATCTCAGCCAAGTGTTTAAGCAAAAGAGTTGGTCTAATGTATATGCATGAGCTTCATCTTGAAATGTGGAGTGGCTAAGAAATGTCTTATAATTTCTAAATTACTCCAGTTACCATTAATTTTAAGCATTAGTAGGCATCACTAATAAGTGTTACTATGCCGTTTTTACAAAGAAAGTCTAGAAGGCTGACTACAACATTTCTTTGTTCCTCAATTCTGGGAAGTTCCTGCTGTCGTCTTTTAAAGCCAACTATGCAGAGCATGGCCAACGATCCACTCCAAAATCACAAGCTGGATTAAAGCCCCAGAAAAGTGCCCTTGGAATCGTTTCTCTTTTTTGAAAAGT